GTCGGTTTAGGGGCGAAAACGTCCGGCCAAGAGCCCCAGGCGATGGATGTTTTTGTGGAGGACGCTGTGCAGCACGGCCAGGTGCTTCCCCACATCGCCGTCGCGGGAAAAATCCCGCAGGAAAACGCCCCGTTCGGCTTGGAAAGTGAATTTTTGCGGGAGGGGGCTGTTATCCCGCAAATAATCCCAAACGCTGAGGAGGAGGAGGTGAACCTCGAACGGAGCCAGCTGGTGGAAAATCTCGTGCATGTTCCCCAGGACGGGGGGCAGCAAGGAACCCTCGGCCATGCAAGCCACCAAGGAACAAGAAGCCTGGAGGTGCCACGGCGATCCGGCCGTCCGGCTTTCCCGGCACGCTTCCCAGTACGCCATCAAACTGGCCAAAAGCCCGCGGAGGAGAACGGAACAATAACAGAGCGCCGGTCGCCCGGCGGCCACCAGCCGCAGGAGAGGGAAAAGGAGGGGATGGTCGCGGAACCGGCGGCAAATCCGTAAATCCCGTTCCACCGTCCCACGGGCTTGCTCCTCCGGCGGCCAGGCGAGCTCTCCCCCCGCCGCCTCCGGGCAGACGCTTTCCACCAAGGCGGCCGCCACGGCTTTGGCGGCTTCGGGATTAATTCCGGCGACGGAAAGGTCGGGGGAGGTTTCCCCGGAGCGACCCCCGCGACAACAGCGCAGCAGGAGGCTGAGGAACGTTTGGGCGTTGTGCGCCAGCTCCTCCGGCGCCCGCTCGCCCGTCCCCGACGCCGGTTTCAAGCCCCGGCCGATCACGCCAGCGTGGAAGACGGACCAAACGCCTCCGGAAAAATTCACGGCGGCCGTAAAGCGCCGGTTGACGTCCAAGAGGGAAACGTCGCCGCCGCTTCCTTCTCGCCCAGCCTCCTCCTCGCCCGTTTTTTCCGCCGAGCCCCCGAAAAGCTCGGCGTTGCCCCCGCGCAGGGCTCCCTCCACCAGCTGCTGCAGCACGGCCTTGGCGGCGGCCGGCGAGACGGCGCTGAGCCGGGCCAGCAACCGGCCGCTATAGCAGAGGTTGGCGGGGTTCTGCCGCCGCAAGACGGTGAAAAACTGGTGAACGGCGGCGCGGACGGCGGCCAGGAGGTGAGCCGGGGGGACGGCGCGGGGCAGGGGGCAGACGGAGAGCAGCAGGCAAGCGGCTTCCGCCACCTCAGGGCTGCGGTGAAGGAGAAGCTGGCCGAAATCGTGGAGGTGCCGCGCCACGACGGCGCCCAGCTGGACCCCCATGGCCGCCGGTCCCCCTTCCCCGCCCTCCCACTGCACCACCAGAGCCAAATTGCGGAAAAGCTGAGCGATCTGCGGCTCCGGCAAGCGCCCGGCGTGGATCTGGCAAACGCAGGTCTTGACGGTGGCGGGGAGGAGGTCGACGAGGCAAGAGCTGAGGACGGCGTAGAGCTGGGTGGCCAAGGCCAGCTCCTCCTGGGTGCGGGCCAGCGTCAGGAGGAAGAAGAGGGCGTCCGTGGCGCAGTGCGGGGCGGAATAGACGGCCAGGAGCCCCAAAAGCTGGTGCTGCCAAAGAAAGCGTTTCCGTTCCAGCCGCAAGGTCTCCACGCACAGCTCCCGGACGTGGGACTTGAGGGCGTCCAAAAACGGGACGGGGCGCGGCGGGGAATCGGCCAAACCGGGGCCGCCCCGGTTGTAGACCAGCTTCTGGAGGTTGAGGAGGAGGAGCTGGATGACGCGGTCGCAGGCTTCTCGCACCCCGTCGTGGAGCGTCAGCCCCGGCGGGGTGATGACGGAGGCCGGCATGGCCGTGTTGACCAGGAACTGCAAGATGCGGTAAGCGCCGGCGGAGGTTTGGCAAATGAGGTGCACCACGATGCTGACCATGTTCTCCAGGTCCTCGCGCGGGAGCGAGGCGAAGTGCTGGTGCAGCTGGTTGAGGACGTTGGGTTTGAGGGAGTCCACCAGTTCGGAGGAGATGGTGCCCAGCAGCGCCGGGGACATGACGGCGAGCTGGAGGAGGAAGGGGACGGCGGCTTTCTGGTGCTGGTCTCTGGCGGGCCCCAAGCTCTCGTGAAACATCCGCAGCAGCTCCTGCTTGATGCTGCCCGAGTGGCGAGAAGCCAGGTGTCCCAAAATCCCCACCACCGACGCGATCTTGGGCACCCGCTTGTCGGCGGCGGCGGGGAAGAGCAAGTCCCCCGGGGCCGCCCCGTGGGCGCAGAAATCCTTGAGGCCGCACGAAAGAACCCGGTTGATGATGGTGTTGGGGAAAGAAGAGCCGATGTGGGCCACCACCCAGTCGAAATGGGGCGAGTGCTGGACCGACGTGTCCAGCAAAGCGTCGACGCAGGCGTCGGGGCAGCCCCCGATCATGGCCGAGAGGCACTGGGTGTAAATTTCCATCAGGGTGCGGGTGGCTTTGCAGGACATCCAGAGCTGGAGCAGCTCGTTGAGGCTGGAAGCGTGCGGCACGCCGTGCCTCCCCGCGTACTTGCTGCTCAGCTGACCCATCAGATCGATGGACCACGCCGAAACGACGGGCGCCCACGCCTTGGGATTCGCCCGGACGAACTCCGCCAGCGCCCGCTGCACTTCTTGCACCACTTCTTCCAACCCCGACGCCGCCGGTCGCCCCCCGACGCC